GGCGAAAGGGGGTCAAACACCGTATTAGTATGGTGTTCCTAATAATCCTTTAGGTGAGTGTATGTTAGCGTATCATTTATTTGTAATTCCATAGATGATTAGCATTAGCACTTATCAAACAGCTTGTTGTGGCTTTGCTTTCCTAGATAAGAGATCTCCTAAGTTTTTTCTGTGTTTTGTTTATTACAGATTCACTCATAGATTTTCACCTGTCACATACAGAGAAAACATGTAGGTGGAACAGTACACTGTTTATTACAGTATACAGTAAACTACTGTATAATTATTTATAAATATACTGAACATACCAGTAGAGTATGCTTGAAATATCGGTATGGGGCGGCTCCTCGCTATTCGACCAATTCACTTAACGACCTAGTTGTAGGAACAAACTGTTAAGTTTCTTAAGTGAGGAGTGTCTGTACCCTCAAATGTGCAAATTGGTACTTTTTTTCTGACAGCATCCTGTTATTTATCCAACTTGTTCCACCAGCTACAAATGAAAAAAAAAGTCCTTCCTTTTTTATTTAATAAAAATTCAATGAAACAGATGCTCCATAATTACAAATAGCTGTATACAAATAATTTAAAATATCGTTGAGGAGAGTGGTATAAATTTGTATATGTTTATAGGTAAATATTTATACTAAATACCTATAGAGCCCAACTTACGGGAAGAGGAATCTGGATCGGCGGACGATCTGGATTTCAGACATCACAACTACAAGGAAATGAGGAAGGTGAGAACAGAGCCTGAAATAATATATTGAATTTCTCATTGTGTGTTTATAGTAAACAAGTAATCCCCAGGTTATAAATGAAATCCATTCCCTAAGTCTGTCTTAAAGTCGAATTTCTAGGTAAGTAGGATCAGGTAAATATGGTTCTTATTTAGTGTCAGTTAGCTAAATGTTTATCTTGGCATATAGTATATATTTAACTTTTTTATGCATATAAAACACTTAGGAAACACTTCCAAATACACTAAAACATCTAACAGAATTATATAGTATATAATAATTATACAGCAATAATAAACGCAACTATATACGGTACTGTACTGTACTTTGAGCTGACGAACCGCAATGCTTTAATGAGCATCACCAAGTAGCGTGTGCGTTTGTTATTACCAAACATTGTATGTGAAATTTCATTAGTACAAGTTGTTCATAAGTCAGATATTGTTAACCCTGGGGATTTCTGTATAAGTCATTTGCATCTGCTTATGTTTTACATCTCACATTTGTGAAAGTGGTTAATGTAATTGAATAGTGACCGAATCATATACATGTATACTGAGTCTACAACAAACAAACAAATTTATTTTTGTATAGCGCATTATCACAACATTA